TCACTGCCTTTGTGGTCAGTCATAGAATAGTTTGGGTTGGAAGGGACCTTAAAGATCCAACCCCCCTGCCATGGGCAGGGACACCTTCCACTAGACCAGGTTGCTCAAAGCCTCATCCAGCCTGGCCTTGAACACTTCCAGGGATGGGGCATCCACAGCTTCTCTGGGCAACCTGTTCCAGTGCTTCACCACCCTCTTCATGAAGAACTTCCTGATGTCTCATCTAAATCTCCCCACTTTCAATTTAAACCCATTACCCCTTGTCCTGTCACTACAGGCCCTTGTAAAAAGTCATACCCCCTCCGCGTTCTTGTACAATCTGCAGCTATATGACATTTACACTTTAACTGGTTATCAGATAGCCACTGTAATTTTTGAAAATAGCTCTGACTTTTTTGTTAAAATTGTTGGTCAGTGTGACAGTGTTGATTTAGTGTTGGTACGATTATAAATAACTTTATTAGCGCAATACTCTTAATTGAGTGGCTTGCTGAAAATTGGAAAGCGCTCCAAGTGGTGTTGAAATGTCCAGGCTTTCTGCCTCAGTGTTGGCTTGAATGTGACACTGCAGGTCTTATCAGTTACAAATAACTTAAAAAAAAAAATAGGAAAAATAGGAATTAGGTTTTAACTTTAACAGCTGAATGCTCTCCTTCTGAGTTTGACAGGTGCTGTGTTAGTGTGTCTGACAGTTATGTCATAGGTTGTGCAGCATCATTGCGGTTCTGTGGTGGTGATGAAACTCCTGTAATTTCTGTAGTTGTAAGGAATTGGCTTGATTATACTATTATAAATTGCTTTGTGGTGGGGAAAAAAAAGAATGGTCAAGGTACATACGGATGTGCCTGAAAGACAACTGAACAAATAACTTTCTAAAACGTAAGGAAATTGTTATTTGTGATTGTGTGAGGAATTCCTAAGTATGTTTCACCAACTGATTTTTATATGTAAAAATAGTTAAAAGTCATTCATGCTTTCTGACTCTTCAGGGCAAGAAAACATTAGAATCTGAAGAACAGGCTTCTTGATAGAGCAACTAAAAGTTCTAACTCATCTTTAGTAGCAATATATTATGTAGTAGACGTAAGTAAGGTTTTATTCACGATGGTAAAGCAGGACTGGTACTTTATAGAGAATTAGTTTAGAGGAAGAAGAAATTTTTTTTAAAGTTTTTAAAATTATTGTGCTGTTTTGTCTTGATTGATTTGAGTGCTTGTGGAAGAAGTGTGTATTTAGGATTCACATGAGTGAAGTGAGTGCCTGGAACCGTTGTGTTTAGGATTGAAGTTATTACTATATAACAACAGAAACTTCCTGAGGCACAGTGCAGTTCGCATTTGCACAAATTTTCCTCTCCATTTCTGGTTAATGGTTATCCTTTGTGGAGCTATGCATTGAAATATAACTTAGGTAAATCATTATCTTTTTACCTTGAAGCAATTGGTGGCCTTTTATGTTTGGAAGATGCTTGTGCTTTTCTGTCCTGAGATGGAGAGATAAATGAGAACACTTTTAAGAGTATGCTATCTGAACAGTTTAAACTTAGGCCACAGTCTAAAATTTGACTGCAAAGGAAGGAGATTTGAAGTAGGGAAGGAATTTGAAATAGGACTTAGAGTGTGTACTTATTTTTAAAAGAAGCTTTGACAGCAGAATTAAGCTGTTTTTCAAATGGTTTAATACTCTGTTCTGCCTCAGTGTCTCATGCTGTGCTTTTGCTTACTGTGTTTTTTCTACAGGGTCAGCCACTGATCGGTTTCACAGCTGGCACAGAGCTAGGGCTGATGCTGGGTGGCAGTTAGTGCTTGGAAAGGAGGTGGCCGAGTGACTGTGCTTCAGTGCATCCCCCATCACTGGAGAGATTTCTTTGCAGTCACGGTCTGGAGCTTGTGTATTGATCAACCTCAGTCCTGAGGAGTGATTATCTCTTAATAACTGGGGCATGAATGTCTAGCCAGGTGGAGGAAACTTTAAATTGTTTATTTTTCAACATTAGGCCTGTGTATCAGTTTGTGTGAGTAAGGAGGGGTGGAAACAAAGAGCTAATTAGTTAGAACCTTAGAATATCTCAAGTTGGAAGGGATCCATAAGTTAATCTGTGGTGGTTGCCCATATGCATGTATTTACTTCGCTAGAGACCTTGGTTGTTGGAGGTGTATTAAGTTAGAGAAGGTGGGTTATCTGAGGTGGAAGAAAATACACCTGGGCAATTAACAGAATAGTTAAATGTGTATTTATACCCAAGGTTATCTGGTTTTACTTTTAACTTTTTAACCAAGAAAGAATTGAGAAAACCAAAAAAGTTACAAGTGATAGTGTTACAAAGGAAGATTTCAGAAAATAAGCTTGCAAGAGCTCTGAACAATGATGTAGTGGTATGAACTTCTGCCTTATTTCACTGGAATGAACTTTGATTGAAACTTTACATGTAAATATTAGTTTTTTTACTACTCATTAAACTACATGTTGGTTTTGTTTGCTTTAAGATAAATACCTTTAAGGCTTGCTGTGGCTTTGGCTTGCTTACTAGAAGTTCATCAGTAACATACAAATCATCAAAATCACTATCCATACAAGCTCATACAGGGAAGAACTGTAGTGCATGTTGTTTAAAGCAAGTCATGATTTAAATGATAAATTGACAATACATAATTAACCAGCACTCAGTGAACAGTGTAGCTGTGGTGAGTATCAGCAACATGATAAATCACAATACTAGGCATACACAGGCTGTTCATACACTATCACAAATGCCTGTTTGTAATCCCCACAAGTTCTAATTGCACTCAATACACATGCCCCCCATCCAAGGCAGTGTAGGTTATAAGCAAAGAGGCAGGGTGTGGTTCTTTTATGCTTCTGTTGGAGCCGATTCCTTCTTTGCTTTAAAACTCCCTGTGATTTTCTGGATACTCTTTCATCTAATGGTTTTCACAATCTTGGGTGAACTCTTCACATGTAGCATCTATACCTGCATTCCTCTCTTAACAGCTGTTATCCAGGTTCTTTTACTAAGGGTGTGTTATGCAGCTTCTTCCTCCCCCAAAAAATGTGGAGCATCGTACTATGCAAGGTCCACCCTTACCCCCCCCATCCACCCCAGCCACTTTGGCTCAAATCTGAATGCACTATTTATGAACACGTGCTTGTGACATGATGGGTGCTCTCTAGCTTTTCACCTATCTGTTTGGATAAGTGATTTCCATCTTTCGGATGTTGTGTGAACACTGAGAGTTTCTATTTTTAAATGCCAGTAATGACTGGAAATGTTAAACTTGATTGCAGTATCGTTCTGTCACTTCTGAAGTGTTACCAGGAAGTGGTAATGTCAGACCTTGTCAGTGAGTGTTGAAGCTTAAGCTCAACCTCCTTGTGCTAACAGCTTGAATTTTCATAATTATAATTTTGTATTTTATTTTTTTTTGCAAGATTACTCTGCAAAAAGGCTTTTTCAGAAGCCATGTGTGTTGACTAAACATAGGTCAGTCAGCCTTTGGCTTAGTTACCTACAGCCATTAAAATGCAGAAGACCTGTGTGTGCTTCATGGCTTTTTGGTCTTGAAAGACTTTGGTCTGATCATTAAATGATCAGCGTACTGTTTGTGCACCGAATCACTTGGGATCAGGTATCCATGAAGATTTTGATGTTAAAGAAAGTTGCTCTTTATTTTAAATAACAAGTTGCTGGTGTTGCTGAGACAGAAAATAGCTTTTAAGTAGTTTAAAATAGAGCTTAGTAAATTTAGGAGGGCTGTCAGTACATTATGGATTAGATCCACTCAGTATATGGTGTTCAGTGTAGCTGCTTTGAGTAATGTTTTGGAGAAGTGGGATGTCTGATGAAAGTGATTGGCTGAGTAGCCTGTTTTGTTTGTTGGGAGGTAACGGGAATGTGAGAGCATAGGAATTTCTTCTCTTATAGCTCCTTCCATACCATGTTATTTGACATTCTGATTATGATCAGCAGAAACCTTCTGGGTTACATGTGATGTAAACATGTAGCAAGTAACAAAAGTGTAGTAGTCTTCTTTCTCTTCCGAGGTCGTGTCTGAAATGTCTTCTGCTTATGTGTGTTACTGAATGTAGATCTTTCGTTGCTGAGATTCATCAGTGCTGAGCTAACAAGAGGTTACTTCCTTGAACACAATGAAGCAAAATACACAGAGCGGAGAGAGAGAGTATACACATGCATGCGGATACCAAAAGAACTGGAAAAGGTGAAGTATACTCTAAGATTTGTTTTAATTTAGAGATGAAGTCTGTTGCATTAAATTATTTCAACAAATGTTTATTTTTCAAGCACTTCTACTAAAAAAAAGATTTAAACATCTATAGTGATTAATTTTCAGTGTTATATCTTAAACATTTGTGATTTGGGTGTTTTTTTTTACCTATGTTTGCTTGTTGCTGCTAGCAACTCATGTTATTGGTAGAGACAGATGACTAATTTTCAAGCCAAATTATGACAAATTAATTCAAATGTAAAGATGTCACTGGTACTTAAAGAAATAGTCAAGCCAAAACCAACTTTTTCCAGCAAAATAATTTTACATTAAAAAAAATAAAAATTTGTTTTAAATATTCCAGTTGCTTAAGAATACGGTGATGAATAAGTTTCTGTCTAAGGTTTTTGACTTAATTTTCGTAACCTTCTAGTTTGCTTCTTGCCACTGTTTACCACATCTTCCCTCTCTGTCCCCATACTACGGCCTTTCCTGAGGCGTTCCTACCACCTCATTTATGTCAGCTTAGGTATAATTTTGGCCTGGCAGTGAGCCAATTCCAGTGCTGTAATGTAGAAGAGAGTTTTGTTGTGGCTTAACCATTTCAATTTGGGAGGCAGCAGGGATATGTGCAAGAACGATGAGTAAGGCAACATTGGTAATAAAGTTTGGCTAGGCTGCAGTGTAATGGTAACATCAAAAGTAATATTGCCAAAATTCTGAAAACCTCTAGGGATGAAGTTACATGCTAGGGCTAAATCAATATAGTTTTTATTGAAGGAAGAGTTTTGTTTTCACTGTTCCCGTCCCACTTTAGTCTCCCCCCTTACGCACACTGCCTGTTTTGCTTGAGCTGTGGTGCTTGTTGGACCATTCTAAGAGTTAAATCAGCTCATAATTCGGCAGTGAATGCTTCACTTGCTCTGTTTATACTTTGCTAGGATAGTGCACTGAATTGCTCAGCCATTATTCTTGATAATCCAGATCCTACACAAGGGCAGAAGGGGAGCTGTATAGCTTGGGGTGGGGGTGGAAAGATGAAAGAGCAGTGCAGAAGGGACGGGAAGTAGGAATCCCTTTGTCAGCAGCACTCAGATTCCCCCTTCAGTATCATTAAATTCATTCTTAGACCATGATAAGGCCTGTGTTTACAAAACTAAATTCCCAGTCAAAAAATCACAGAATGAATGCGATTGGGATGCGTTTGGACTACATCATCTCTAGAAGTCCGTGTTTAAAGCTGCATCACCTACAGTGGGTTGCTCAGGACCAGATCCAGTTGTGTTTTAAATATCTCCATGGGTGGTGTCTTCACATCCTCCCTGTTGACCCATTCCAGTTAATGGTAAAATATTCCAGTTAAGGTAGAGTCTCAGTTGAACAATATAGCAGTTCTACGTCATCTCCATTGTAATTATGTAGACTGTTATGTGCTGTCTCCAAGCCACAGACATGATTCTGAAGTAGTATCACCATAGATTTCTAATAAGACTTTCAGTGTGTAAGAACAAGTGAAGGCCAACAGTCTTATAAATACGGTTGAAAGTTTTGGAATGGATGTTTTTTGCATGGTAAATCAAACTTCAGTCTGTACTTTGAATATGAAAGAATATTGAATGAATAATAAGCGAGTAGAAAGTGATAGGTGTCTTTCTAAAGAGACATTATGAAATAAATATCTTGGTTCTTTGCATGGGCTTAGTGTGGGTTAGGATACATACCAGCCATGTCAAATCACATCATACTAGTGTAAAAAAAATTTTGAAAAAGTATGATGATGAAAAACAAACTAGTGTACTGGTCACCTATTTTGGGAATCACTTGACTGATTCAAAAGTCTGCTTAATTGAAATAAAGCATGTGAGACACTAGGAAGGAAGAGAAGAATTTTCTTAATGTCTTGTATTGTTTACTACCTAATAATATAATTACATACTAGGATTGAAAATCATAATCAAGTAGAGTGAGAATAAACTGGAGTAAATTTATGAAAGCCTACTTTCGGGAGGTTTTCTTAATGTGCACTTATTATATGTACGTGAGTTTAGAGTGGGGAATGATGTTAAAAGGGTAGGGATGGTGGTTGGGTTTTTTTTTTTTGTTGTGGTTGTTCTGAATACTCCTTTTATATTTAGAAAAGCTAGCAAATTTCAATGTAAATGCTCCTTCCATTGGAGCTTTTTTGTGAAGATTCAGTGGAAGCTCTTCATTGTAATTGGTTATTTATACTAAATGAAAAGGCGGTCCCTATTCCTAGACGTAAGGGAACACTTGTCAATTGATCTCAAAATTAAACTTCATGCTGATTGCTAAAATATAGTTATGATGATGGAAAAGCTCTGTAAGCTTTTCTGTTCACTCCTCAGTGTCTGGAATGTAGCAGCAAAAATGTTTACCAGAATGAGTGGAAGGTTCAGTGCTGATTATATTTCAGCAGTGTGTGCAATTGTGGAAGAGCAATGTAGTAAAAAATTAGGAAAATGAGGACATTAAACAATAATTGTCAACATTAATGCAAGCTTACAGTGAGTGAAAAACTGTGATTCCACTCAGGGAGAGAGAAAGTCTGTCTAATCAAAGAGAAAATCTGGAGTTGTTTTCTAGATTATAAAGATATTGTCAAAGAAAGCAGGGGCAAAATGATAGGTTGTCTTTGTATTTTTCTCGTTTTAAAGAGTTAAAAAAGACATGTTCATCTTCAGTCATCCTCAGTGCTTAGATATTCAGTACCTGAATAGCAAATAAATAGCTGACTTAATGGCATATTAAAATGCAATGCGTAAATTCATCCATTATTTGTAAACACTGCTCCTGATAATTTTGAATAACTCTCTGCTGAAAATGGTACTGGAGGTGAATGAGTGAACGTCAGGGAGGAGACCTTAATGTCACGTTGGTGTTGAAGTACAGACTTCAGCATTGGTAGAAATAGTGTTGTAAAGGAAAGCAGCAGCTCAGAGATGACAGCAGTGCTTTTGTGCCTGTTCAGTCACCTTATGTGGTTTGCAGATAGATGTACTGGAGTGCACTCTGTAGAACTGCTTTCAAAGGTGCGAGGAAGCATGAGGAGTAAGGGTGAGAGAAAGGTACCTGTTGGTGATACTAGCTCATTGGACATGGCACTGGCTGTTTTGGAAACTGACAAAGGAGATATTTTGCAAGGCAAAGAGGTGGTGGGAGAAAAAAGTAATTTACTGGTGTTTTGGTTTACAGCCCCCCACCCTCCCAAAACCAGTGTCTTCCTTTCCCATAAGCAACACATAAAACTTTCACATGTAAATATCTGTCATGGATATCTAGACCTGCTTAGATGTTGCTACTCTTAATTGTGTAGCCAGTTAAGCTTGCCTTTTAATGTGATTTAAGTGCAGAAAAAACCACTAGCCTCTGATCTGACCAAAGCATAAAAGCATATGCCTAGAGTCCCATTCAGGTAAATCTTAAGATAGATTCAAAGAGCAGATGGAGAAGAAGTGTCTTGGGGAGAGTCTGGTACATAAGAGCTTTCTGACTGCAGACTTCAGGTCTTGTTTAATTATCACAGAGTTGCTTGGCTTGTGGCTACAATGAAATGGCTTTAGCTGTTTCTGTAAATTAAGGATAACACATTTAAATTGAGGGCAACTGGAAGTCTATCTCTTCATATTTTATATTCTTGTTTGTATGAAAAAATGTGGGTATTCACTGAAGGAGAAGTACCACAGCTGTAATTAGCTGTGCAATAGAAATTCAACAAGGTAAACCAAAGTCTTTTTTGGTGGGGTGTGGAGTGAGTGGGAAGGCATGTTAAAAAGGAGGTAGGCTGTGCACATGTACACACAGCTTTAAATTTTTTTTTCCTAAAGTTAAAAACATTAACTTTTGTAACCTTAGAGGACAGTCATCATTGGAAAATGAGCTACAGTTATATCCCAGTGCAATTCATCTGTTAGTAAAGTCTGTGTTCAGTGGGCCAAGAAGCCTTTGCTGCTCCAGCCTTGTGGTGCAGAACTTTTGCTGAATAGTCTTCCAGGTGCATAGCATGTTGTTTTTCCTACAGTTCAACGGCTTGGACAAGTTGAGAGTATTGTGCCTATTTGATTAGTCTTATGTAAATGCATTTTTTATAAAATAATGTAATTCTTTATAAACTTTTTGTAACTCTTTATAAGCAACTAACATAATTCTGTTTTATTTTTGCAATTTAGTTGATGTTTTTTGGAATCTTTTTGTGCCTGGATGCTTTTCTGTATGTATTCACCCTGCTTCCTTTGAGAGTTTTTCTGGCAATGTTCCGGTTCATCACTTTGCCTTGCTATGGCTTACGGTAAGTTGATTCAAGAGAAGGGTGTTGATAACTTCAAATAATGTTTCTCTGTTTATGCGTGTGCTTAATTTTATGGCCCTTCAGTGCTGTTTGAACTACTAATGACTTCTTCCACTGTAAAACAGAAGTTTGGTCTAAACTAGCCAAAGCAAAGGTGTGCGGGGGACCTTTAAACTTTGCCACCAGTCACTTACAGTCATCGCTGTTTCCTTCAGACACAACAGTTTGATAACAGCACCACTTAGGCATATTCAGGTTAGTAAAGGACAGAGCTGTAACTTTACTCTATAGATTTGTTCTTTTAACTAACATCTAGTTGAACAGTGTTTTAAGATTTCCTAGACTTGAGTTAATGACTTGGCTCATGTCTTTTGATAGACTTTTTGATATTGAAACAGAAGTTCGAATTTTTTTTTTTTTTTACAATAAAAAAGTTTCCTTATTTCCATGGTAAACTTTGCCTACAGGATCCCTGTATAAAATGTTACTTTCTTTCGAAGAATCGATGGGACTGACTAATCCAAACAATATTAAGAAATTTTAGGTCTTAACCCCTTGCTTTTTTGTTCAGATTAATATTAAGGAGAAGTTGCTAATACTTAGGATTTTTGGTTTGTCCTTTCTGGCATAGGCATCAAAAACTTTATAGAATTAATTTCCTTCATAAAAGTTGCTATTTCATGATAAAGCTGATTATGGAAGCCTTAAGTGTAACCTAAAAGAAAAGGAGTATTTGTATTGATGATCTTATTTATTCAAGGGAAAATTATGACTTCAGGTTTGGGGAAATCCAGAATGAAAATTATGAAGTTGATTTATGATAGCTGATTTTTTTTTAGCTGTTTGCATTTGCATTATTAATATTCCCTTTTATGTGAAGTGCCTTTAGATGCATCGTTTAGAACGTGTGTTCTGATTAGAGCAAATGCTAGTCTAGTTGCAGAAGAAAGTAGAGTCTTAAGTTAAAATGTTTGTACTGCAGTGATGTTTAACATGGGCACTAGGTGGCAGTCTCTTAATATTTTATTGTGCTTTCATTTTGAGCTGAATGTCAGACTTTCATGATGTTGAGTTTTCAAAACTGTGTAAACAATGACAGCTGTTTAGTTTTAGCTTGATGACAAGTCAAATTATGTGCCTATTTGTAAAATCTGTATGGATGCTATTGCTATAATATTAAAATTAATAGGTAATGCAGGTAAATGTAGTGGATTTTAAGTTATCATTTGGATCTAACTTTTTTCTGTTTAAAAAGTGTTCTTCTTTGTTTATAAATTCAGCTTTGCTTTTGACAAGTAAGTTTTCTGCTCTTCTGAAATTACGATTGAAATATTTGAAAGACCGGTTGCTGAGTTTGGGTGTTGTTCAGTAGTGAGAAAGCGAAACTGAACGTACCATATACACTCACACATAGGTGTGTATGTATATGTACCTGCACCTGCAGTGTTAAAATCTGCTTGCTTGACAGTATTTTTAGTGTGGGAGGCAGGATAGAATCCCGTTTAATATAATCAACTTGACTATGTTAACTGCAAAGTTTTATCAGGTAAGATACAGTGAACTGAGATTATCTTGAGTGAAGAAGGCTTTGTAACAACTACTGAAGCAATTTCTTTTGTCACAGTTTCCTCAGCTGTTTATGGAATTAATTTCCCTAGAATCTTTTAAATTGTTTACTACTTGAGGCTTTGGCTAATTCATTAATATTTTAGAGATGGTGGCTTTTAACTGAAGGGATCATAGTTCATGTTTATAGTACGTAATGGAACTTTTTCAGATGTCACGATTTTTACTTCCAAATATACAGAGCCTGCGCTTTGATTTTTTGGGGTTTTTATTGTTATTCTAGTTATGTTGATTTGTTATGGAAAAAAAAAAAGGGGTTTTCTTCTTCTAGCTCAGGAAATACACCTTTATTTGATTGTTACAAAAGAAACACATCTGTAATTACAAAAGGTACTTACAAAGCAGGTGGCTGTTTATGTCTTAGCCTACTCTTCCTCCCAAAGGTCAAATAAGTGTTGAGAGGCACGACTAGTTATGTGAACCTGCCACATCATATTCCATTCTGTGTAGTAAATAAAAGTGCTCCTCCCTTCATCTTGACTTTTTTCTCAACATCTCAGTGAAGTGATTGAGCAGTGAGTATTCAGTCTCCCTTCCAGTTTACTCTTCAGTTAATTTATTTCCTTATAACTCTTTTTGCTCTTTTCAGTGTAGAAAAAGATTATATTACCCATTATTTCTTTAAAACAATGAAACCACATTCTGTGTAAGGTGGGCTGATTCCTGTCTATGGTGTTGTGTACAGTGCTTAGATGTAGGGGGAGTGCTTTATAGACTCTTCCACATGTTTTAATATTCTGTTTTAGAGAGTTCTGAAAGGGAACAGAGTAATGTATCTTAAATAAATTAGTTTTTTTCTGCCTAAACAGTGTAAGTGCTTCAGTTTGACTGCTAAGTCATCATTCCTCATCACTTGATCTTTCCTTTTGAGTAAATTTAATTCTGTGTATTTGTCAGAGCTATATTGGTGTTAACATAGCTGTTCTAGAGAGAGATTTTAAAACTTTGAAAACTTCAGTCAGAAGAATCCTAGATTCTGTCATTAAGTAAACTAAACTGCTGCTTAAATTGCAGTGGTCAAACACCAGAGGCCGAGTTATCAGATTGGTGGTTTTGGCAGGTGCAACTTCATTACTGCTATGCTCTGTAAATAGCAGGGTGCTCTTAAAAATATTAGCAAACACTTCACAAAATTAAATTAAATCTTCTGAAATACCCCACCCCCCCCAAAAAAAAAATCATCTCTGCTGTATTTTCTTCCGAGCCATGGAAAGAAATTTCCTAAATTGTTCTATTCAAATCGTGTGAATGACTTCTTATTTTATTAAAATATTCTTTGTCAACATAAAAGTACATATTTGGCTGTAAAAACAAATCTAAGGTAGAGAGAGAAGTAGGAGTTCTCTTCAGAATTACAGTCTTTGATACAGCATCCTGAAACTAACTCTGCCTATGGTTGAAAGGTACAGTTTGCTTTTACAATTTTTTACAATTCTGACATTTTTTTTACTAATACCACAGACCCAGAGATTCTGGGCAGATTATTATCTCTGCTTGCTTTTGAAACTTTTATAGAGCTAACATTCTATTTTTCTTGAAAATATGTTGCACACCAATAAAAACTCTTGTGGAATGTGAAAAAGCTTTTCTGTATTATTTGAAAAACTCCATGATGTGAAAGCTAAAATTGTCTGTTTGTGGAGTTCTGATGGGACTCCAGATTTAATTGCACTTAAAAGCATTTGACATCTTGTCCATAAAGCAAGTAAAGACTTGTTACAGAAACTGAGACTTTTTTTTCCCCCCTCCAAATTCTAGTTTTTTCAAGAAAATACAGAAGTAGATTATGAATTTTCTTGTATGTGAAGATAGATTCACACAATCTTTACATTTCTTCCATGTGGAAATAGATAAAATGTGTTCTGGTTTTCTTTTACTCTGCTCTCTTTTCCCTGAAACAAGTGAGCTTAGGTCATGTCAGCAATGACATCATTAACTTCAATTGTATTAATGTACTTCTTAAAATTCTCCTGTGAAATCATAAATTTACACTTTTTAGTAGGAAGTAAATAGAACAGCATTACTTCAAGAAAGCAAGCATCTCAGGAAAAAACAAACAAGAAAACAAACCAAAACAAATAAATATACTGGCATTCTTGTTATGGACATTATTTCTTTATTCATACTGTCAGGTTATTAAATACATTTGAACCTCTGTTGCACATTTATTCCCAAGTGTAACTTTTTTTTCCTGCTAAGGGCTGTAACTGTTAACCAGATAATAGGAAGTTTATCTATTTAAGTTCACTGAGCAAGTAGTGCACCTGTCCACCCAAACGCGTGGCTTTCTAATAACCAGAATAAAGCAGGTGCATTCAGTGTTCTCTGCAGTGAACTCTCAGATCAAGTACTCCTATCTCCTTTCCATAACAGTGCATAGTGTAGCAAGATTACAACCTTCTCTTTCTTTCTTTCTTGTAAATCAGACGGAAGGGAAGAGCACTTTCACTTCCTTTATAGGATGGAATGTGGTGTCACAGGGATTCTTCCTTGGTGAGTAAGTTCTGATTTTCTTTTTCCTTCTATGCTGTCAGCCAAATTCACACATCAATGTGTAATCAGTAAAAAGACTGATTACAAATGAATAGTAGAGCTAAATTAGCAAACACACTTCAGAGGATAAACCAACACTTAGCTTTAATAACCAACACATGACATTCAGTGCTGTTCATGGTAGGTATATTTTCACATGTAATTTCATATCACTATGGGACTAGGTTGTGATCTTAACAGATTTAGATCATCTTTTACATAGAGTGCCTGTGGACCAGTTTGGCCCAGTTTAAAAGAGGATATCTTGGGACAAATTAGAGCCCCTGCTGAAAAAAAAATAAGCTTTTTTACGTTTATTCCAAGTAATGCTTTAGTCAGGTTCGTAGTTATATTTTTTTGTGTATTTCAAGCAGGTTTTTTTGTAATGTTTAACGTAAATTTTGAGGAGTTCTGTAAGTTCATTGCCAGGTATCTCAGTATTAGACTTGAAGTTGATTTTCTGCATAATAAAATACAGCACTTCAGCCTGTGATCATTTACTAACTTCACTTACAGTTGATTCTGTTATTAAAAAAATAAAAGCTTAATGAAAACTAATTCTAGTTGTCACTTAATTTGAAACCTCTTTTTTTTTTTAATTTATTTTGAGACAGCTCTCATCGGGGCCTAACAGCAAGGTTGGTTTTGTTTTGTTCTTAGCATGGTCTCGTGCTGTGTTGTGTGCATGTAGAGGCTTTTTATTGTTTGGGAAATGAAATGCCATTTAATCTTGGCAAACTCAGCTCTCCTAGAATTAATTTGGAACATGTTTTTATCAGCACTTAGTCTGTGTCTCATAATTTTACAAAGTGAAGTCCTGCATATTGTAAACTGTCTCTTTA